CGGCCAGCCTGCCTCAGTTTCCCAACTGAGTCCCTAATAATTCCATGCACACTTATCCTCTACTCCATAAACAGGATTTCTTACCAGAACATAGTTCATGAGAGTCTACAGTAAAAGTCTTAGACATGGAGTTTATTTCTGACCCCTGTTTAAAAAGTCATGAAAGATCACCTGATGTCTCATCTCTGGACACCTCATAGATCAGAAACCGGCACCTTTGATGATGCATTCATTCTTTTTCGGGCCTCTCCTGTCCATGTACCAGGAGAGCTGTCATAGCCCTTCTAAGTGTAGCAAAACCCTGCCCTTTACTTATTTATTACTCATTCAGTAATAAATAAGAAAGGCAAAGAAATTACGAAGGAAAAGGCAATCTTGTCAGTGCATAAACGCCACCCAAAACCGCATTCCCTCTGTAAGCGTTCTGTGCATGTGAAATAAACAAGGTACAGCTAATGATCGTCTCAGAACCTCTCTGGAAGCAGAGCCAAGACAGTATTTTCACAGCTGAAAACTTCTGCCTGGTAAAGAAGTGCCATGTAAACACGATTCCATGCAAATTCCATCAGAGTATTGACAAGCATAATAGACTCCAAATTTCTCTGACGGCAAGGAAAACAGAACGATACAGCAATGCTCTGCAGATGACTAGCTCTGATCTTTTATTAGTTCTCCTAATTGTCTCTTGTTAATTTGTATCCTGCATCATAAGCATAAGCACTCACCTTCACAGTTTGCCCAGCTTCAGGACCATCCTGTAAGCAAAAAAAGAGAGAAGACTCAGATAAATGACGCTAACAAGCATCTCCTGGGAATTCAGAAATATTATCCATTAATAATTTAAATCCAATTTCATTGTGTGCTAATTTATAGTATTCTCCTGGGTCCCATTCAGCGCAAAGCCTGCGGGACCAGATGCTTTTACATTGCAGGGCGTGATGGAGGGGGAAATAATACGTAAAGAAGGAAATAAATACTAGCAACGTTGTGATTTTTCATGAGCTTAGAACCCCGGTTTTAACTGCTCGCAATAATGCGTCCATTATTTGTGGACGTAAAATACAGAGCTGCAAGCGCCGCTTTAAATCAAAGCTCATTTATTTACATGCTTGTTATGTCAAAAATGGCTTTCGCATCCAGATTTGGTTTAAATAAAAGGATTGGTTATTTTGTATAAACCTACTCGGTCAATCTAGCTCCCTATGTTGCTGCAGAGAGGATCTCAAGGGCACGTCTACCCAGCAGGGCTAATCTCAAAATAAGCTCTGCAACTTGAGCTATGCTAATTGCAACAATTAAGTCGAAACAGCTTATTTTGACTTTTGGCACTGTCTACACAACGGTTATTTCGAGAGAGAGCACTCTTCCTTCGGCTTCCCTTACTCCTCGAAAAATGAGGGTTACTGGCGTTGGAGTAAGCAGTCCTCCAGCTCAACATTATTTTGACATTATGAGTACGTCTAGACCGCAAGCTTCTTTTGAAAGTGAGCATCCGCACCACAAAACCAGATCGAAAAAGCAATCTCCTTTTTTTGAAAGAGAGCATCCAGGCTGCATCGATGCTCTCTCTCAAAAGAAAACCCTGATTGCTATTCACAGAATGGCCACCATGGCACCTGTGCTTTTTTTGACTGCCTCTTCTTTCAAAAAATGTCCCTGTTTTGTGTCCACACATGCCTTTTTTCAAAAGAGCTCTTTCGAAAAAGGCGTTCTTCCTTGTAATTTGGTTTACCAATGTCAAAAAAAACCCTGCGTTCTTTTGATTTACATTTTGATTTAATTTTGAAAGAATGCGACTGCAGTGTGGGCAGGTGACTTTTTTCGAAGAAAGGGAAGCTTTTTCGTAAAAACATTGTAGTCTAGACATCCCCTATGTTGAAATAACTGCTTGCATGTAGACGGGGACTATGTTATTTTGGAATAATGGCATTGAAATAACTGCTTGCGTGTCGATGGGGACTATGTTATTTTGGAATAATGGCAGTATTGTAAAATAACGCTGCTGTGTAGACATAGCTCAAGTAATAAACCTACGTAATGCCCTTAGCTAATTCCTGGGAAAGTTGCCTCTCGGGAGAAATTCTGGTCTGCATGCAACAAGTTTACTCCTTGTATCATGCGAGTACCTTTGTTAAGAGCTATGCCTTGCAAACCCTTTCTCCTAGGAGTACTACTTACTACAAACGAGCGATACTACTGGTTACTTACTACCTTACTACTACACCTGGTAGGGTTTTTCAGGAGGGCACCATTTTCACAGTTAATTATCTGGACTCTTCACTGAACCCAGATGCAGTATTTGATTGCTAACCACCATCAGTTGTGAACGCCACAGGTAACGATATGCCGAGTAAAGCAAGACTATTTCCTTACGTTTGTGGAGCATTTACTGCTTCTTTGGTGGGAGCGTCTTCTTCTCAGCAGGTTGTGAAACAGGGTAAAAAGCTCAATAAAAGGCTGCAAGGAAGCAAAGCTTTGGGAGCCAATCAATTTACAAACCTGAATCGAAATGGTGAGCGAAGTGCCACAGAAATGTTTCTCCACCACATTTCCAACCTGTTGTGTCGTGTGAAACAAATCAGCCACTTCTTCAGGACGCAGGTCGCGGAAACGCTCCACGGGCCGGAGCGGGCAGACAAGCACATCTGGATTAGAAGCAGTTAAGGAACATGTGCAGATGCAGAATACCAACTTATTCCTTCCCCCAACATAACAATAGGTCACCCGCAAAGGGGCTTTCCCCTTTATGGTTAAACTCACCTTGATTTGAGGGTAAGAACTTAATCAGTGGAAAGGAAAGGGTTTTGTAGTGCAAATACAGCAATCATATTATGTCTGCTTCAGAAACCGGTCCCATTTCCTCACACATCTCTCTTTGGGGCCAACGTTTTCCCACCGCAGTGCCTAAGACATTTCTGTGACTTCGAGAAAGTGCCCTGAGCACTCTGGCTACATCTATAGTATGAGTGTTCTCAGCAAAAATATGCTAATGAGATACTCATTTGCATAAGTCACAATCTCATTTGCATATTTTCTGCAGATCCATTTTTGCACTAGGGGTTTTTGCGCAACAATAAGGAGCATGGACATTTTCTTTTTGCGCAAAAAAACCCCTCTTTTCTGCAAGAGACTTATGCTCAAAAGAGGAGGAATACTGGTCTTGTGGAAAAAGGGGCTTTTGCACAAAAAGAAAACATCCACACTGCTTGTTTTTGCACAAAAATCCCAAGCACAAAAATGGAGTGGCAGACCATATGCAAATGAGATTGCAAATTATGCAAATGAGTCCCTCGTTAGCATATTTTGGCCAAGAAAACTCGTAGTGTAGACGTCGCCTCAGATTCTAGTGCTGTTGTAGGCACCCTTTACTAGAGGGGCCTTTGAACTGAAGTGGGAGTGTTTCAGTTGGGAAGATCCTGACTACAACTCCCAGCATGCCGTGGGGGGAGAGAGAGAGACAGAGACTTCCTCTATCAGGGAGTGCAGGGGGAGCATTCGCTGGGCTCCACTTCTGGGGAGGAGCTGAGATGGCTTGATGGTGCTCTGTACTTATTAGGAGCTACTGCTGAGAGCCTGCTGGGCTTTGGTGAAGCAGGGAGCCTTGGGGACTTCACTGGAGCCAAGGCAGAGACCATTGCTGTGCCCAGAGCTGACTAAGCTGGGTCTGCAGACAGCAGTGCCAGCACTCTCCTTGCTTAGGAAAGTGTTTGCAAGGGGACGGAATAGCCAAGACACCTTAATGGGTGGTCTGAGTCTGAGAAGCGGTGGAGTGATCTTTCCATCCAACCAGTCCCAGGGCTGCTGACACTGGGGTCAAACAATTCCACTCTTCAGAGGGGTGGTGCAGCTGGGAGGGAGTCCAGATTAGAGATGTTCTGCCTCCCGTTGCCTTGGCTGCACTGGGCCAACCAAGCGCTAGCTCCAGCATCACGATTTTCAAGTGCTCCCACGCAATCCCATCCAGAGCAGTGCTCATTCCAGGGGTGGGGCAACTGGTGGCAGAGTAAATGCAAGTGAGATGCGTTTCATGTACCCACTGTGAACAGGTTCACTGACCTGCCCCCTGCTGGTTTCAATTATAGTTGACATTGAATCTCAATGTGTTGTACCACGGCTTCTTGAGTTGTTCGGAAACGGTGGCTTAGCACCAGTGCTTTTTTTGCAAAAGCAAAAAACGAAACAAAAAAGGGCCGGTACTCCAGGGGAAAAGTTGTTGAGCTCCGGTACTGGAGGTACCGATACTGCGTCTGGAGGTGCCGGTTCTGTGTATCGGGCAGTACCGTCACAGAAAAAGCACTGCTTAGTGCCAATTTACATTTCTATTGGGGCTCTCCTGTTTATACTTAGTATTTCTCAGTTGGACCCATTACACAGATGGGTTTACTCTGGGAGGCCCCCAAGGCAGGTCATAGAGCATGTATGAAGCCCAGCCAGGTGGAGGCACCACCAACTTCAGTTTCCTTTACAAGTAGAAAGGCAGGAACAGAAAGACGGAGAGAGGCTTCCCACTGCTTTGGTCGTAAGTGCGGATGGTCGTAAGTGGAGGTGGCCGTAAGTCGGGGAGCGGCTGTACCAGAATAACCCTTTGTCTCACTGGGAGAGGCCGGTGTGACATGAACCCAGGCTGTGGGGTCCCTTGCTAGCACCAGTCCTTACTGTGGGGGGTCAGCTCCCCAGCTCCACTGGCCACCAGCAACACAAACACTCCCTCGAGGCCTCCCAGGTAACTGCCCTCGTTCCACTTGAGCCCTGTCTCCCTTCAGCATCCAGCCCCTGCTCCCCGATACACCAAAGAAGCAGTAATGCCCAGCTTCCCTGTGCCACCTCAGATCTCTGCTCTGCTTCATACACAGTGAAATCACCTCTAAGTGTGTTTACCAAAGAAGGGCGATTCAGACAGGAGAGAGCTGGAGTACTGGAAACAAGTGGTTACGTGTACAATAACATCATAACTCATATTCTGGAGACTAAACTCAATTAACAAGACACTATCTTGTGGTGCAGAGCAGTGCTCCCCAAAACTCCTTGCGGGTCTTTAAGTTAGCTATGACCCTTCTTTCATGGGATAGGCACCCTATCAATTTGGGAAGGACTCCAGGGTCTCTTTGTATCCAGGATATACAGCCGCTCTCCAAGTTATGAACGAGTTACGGACCAACACTTGGTCCAACACTACGGACCAACACTTGGTGTGTAACTCAAAGTGTTCATAACTCGGATCCCATAGAGTTACATGGCGACCGCGCTGTTTATAAGCATGGATCACCGTTCGTAACTTGGATCCACATTTACGACCACTTTGGTCATAAGTACGGATGGTCGTAAGTGGAGGTGGCCGTAAGTCGGGGAGCGGCTGTACCAGAATAACCCTTTGTCTCTTGCCATCAACGAGACAACCTCCTGTTGTTTTGTTAGTATAATTCTTATTTCCTGTTGATTTGCTCTCTTGGCCCTGATCTCCACTAGGGGGTTATTTCAAAATTATAAGCGCAGCGTCCATACCACCAAGCCTGTTATTTCGAAATAACAGTCTGGTTCCCTCAAAATCTGTACTCCTGCTCTCCTTGGGGAATAAGCTTATTTCAATTCCCTCCAAATCTGTACTCCTGCTCTCGTTGGGGAATAAGCTTATTTCACGATAGTTATTTCAGGAGTTATTCTGGCAGATTTAGTTGTTCTGAAGCTATTTCCTAGTGTAGACAGGCTCTTGTATATTTCACAGGATTTTAGTTTACAATCAGCCCCATATGTGTTAGACATAAATTGTGAGGCCTACAAATATGCAATATACAAATGCCCTGATTGGGAGACATTTTTTGGCTACTGCCTGGAAGGAACATTTCCAGCATATGTCATCTCCTGGCGACCTACCGTAACACCAAGCTGCTTAAAGCACAATTTTCAGTATAGACACATCACTCCTTAAATATGACCCATGCACAGTTTGTAATGATTACGATGACCAATGAGCTACTGGCTCTCAGTAAAGACCTCACATGCCATCCTTCGGTAGCCATCATGCAGGGATCTACCCAGGGGAGCGCTATAAGTCACTATGCACCCACTGTGCCTTCTAGCAGCTGGCACCAAGCAGTCCCTGGGTCGCAGCTGGCTCAAAGCACTTCTGAAAATCAGGTTTCATTTCACAGTAGCCTTTCAAATAGGGCACCGAACACAGCTGATCACTTTTGAATCTCATCCGTGTAAAGTCCCTGCTGTGAGGCTTCCATGTTTAAAAACGGGGAGCTCTATAAATAAGACCAGGGTCGTGACTTTAGTAACGTTGCAGCTGAAAGGCCCTGGGAATGCTCATCTATTATTAATATTGTGTAAGTATAGTTAGTTAATTAGAGCTGTTGCCATTTTTGGCTCAGGTCCAGAATGCTGCACACACATTTTTTGCCTGTTCTCCTTCCTCACAAAGCACTTCATGGTCCATGAAATGTACCATCATGGAAGGGGATCGAGACAATTCACAAATGCGCTCCTTCGAACAGAACGTCCCGGTCTATCCTACCACTACATCCAATGTAAACAGTACTCTAGTTCCTAATTTGGGACCAAGCAACCACTCACTACGAGGCATAAGTGTTTCTGAGGGCATCTCTACTCTAGGAAATTATTTCGAAATATAGCCGCTCCCCGAGTTACGACTATCTCCACTTACGACCAGCCGCACTTACGACCAAAGCGGTCATAAATGCGGATCCGAGTTACAAACGGAGATCCGCGCTTATGAACAGTGCAGTCGCCATGTAACTCTATGGGATCCGAGTTACGAACATTTTGAGTTACGGACCAAGTATTGGTCCGTAACTTGTTTGTAACTCGGGGAGTGGCTGTAACTTATTTCAAATACAAACTCCCAAAATAATAATTTCAATATAGTGCATTCACACTACAGGGAAGCCTCAAAATTAGTCTGAGGCAGGCAGGCAGATGCGCTACCTCGACTTAGAGCCCCAGAAAGCACTCGGGAGTAATTAGTTTGAATGACTCTGGGGAGTCATTATTTCGAAATAGCGGCCCCGGAGCATCCACACTACTGCTAGTTCAGAATCAGAGTTACTGCTGATGAAAAGCAAGAGTCCAGATTACGGATTAAGTGGCCCCTTATTTCAAAATGGTAGTGTGAATGCTCCACTTATAAATTTGACATGGCAGTGGGGACATGCTGCTTGTTATTTCCAAATAAGGGGAGTTATTTTGAAATAACTCCCTAGTGTAGACCGGGACTTTGTGTGAGGTCAACCCAGGTGGCCCAAGTAGAGAGCACTTAAGGCTTGAAACCCAACTAGTTCTACCGCGCCTTTTCAGTGGCGTTGCTCCTGATTTACACTAGTGGGAATGCAGAAAAAGGCCCTTACAAAGCCATGTAAACACTGGCAAACATATGGTACAGAAGCACTTTATTTGTTCCATATTAAAACACACACTCTAATAACGGTTTTGAGAAAATTAAGCTACACAAGACTGTAATAGACTAGTATTGTTCACGGCAATTTTAGTCCTGCAAAGATAATAGGTTTTTGGAAAGGAATATAATAAAAACAAGACAGTAGTTATTCCCCTTTTCTGCACCTCAGCTTACCCTTCCAGAGTTTAGTTTTTAAGGGCTATGGTTTTATATATCTCTCAACACCTA